GCTGTGTGTTCAAAAAAAAAGTTCAGAAGCATCGCAGGTCCCACAGAAAACAGACTCCAGTTATAATCGGAATTGTCATTCACTTCTCTCCTGATTGTCAATCTCTTAGTTAACCTAAATATCAAAACCAAATTCACCAAAGGTCATCTGAAACAGGTGCAGATAAAAAGTTGTTTTAGGGATGACTTTCTTCTGGTACTTTAGACTTAGAAAACCGTTTTTCCTGTCCACAAAGAGTATTTTAGATTTTAAGATTTAGTTCACTTTTATGCACTTGACAAATTTATTGAGCACCTACTATGTGCCAGACATGATCTTAGATAGTGGGAATGTAGGGATGAACAAGGGCAAGCCCTCTCTGTATCAAGATACATTCGAACAGCTCGCATGCTTATATCTGGAAGGGAAGGGGTTTTATAAATGGAAGAACCGAGGCAAGGGAATTTGGTGACTTGCCCAAGATGGCAACTAGTAACTATCAAACCTGGAATTTTACCCCAAATCATTTAAACACTGATCTCTTGTTCCAAACAAGTGACTAAAGAATACTTTAGGTATATGGGTCAGATATGTTTTCATCTGCAGCTCATTTCTTATGTCCTAGATGAGGGCTCTGCCCTCACAGCACCAGGGTGCTAGGGATTTCCTGAAAATTCTAATCATGTTTGCAGAAGTGCACCTCTTCTCAGCCTTCCTTTTTGCTTTTCTGCCAGTTTGTCCCTGCCAATCTTGAGCACACTCCCCAACCTTTTTCTAAGCCCTTCCATGCTTCTTTCTGCAAGCCGCACTGCATTTCTCCCTATTCTGGTTTCTTGTCTCGGTCACTGTTTTCATTCAGCCAAGTACAGACATCTATGGACCATTGGAAATTCTGCTTCAAAACCTTGGAAATTAGGAGCTTAACTGAATTAAATCATAAACATTTTTAAAAGCTCTCTTTCGATAGTTCTTATCTTTGTGATTTTTACATTTATCATTTACCTTTCTTTAGCCACACTATTGTCAACAAGCATGATCACCTTTTCTTGTTATGTATTATGTCAAAATTGTAGCCATTAAAGAATGCCTGTTTATGTCCACAAGCCCAGAAGTTTCCTAATAGCAGACATCTATTTTATCAAGGAAGTCTGGGTAAATAGGAATGCTTTTCAATCTAAGATGCAGCTCTCTCTTTCAGTAAGGATAGTTACTTCAGTCCTCAGCTTCCTCTTGGCTTTTCCTCTGATGCTGAAGCAGGTACATTACATGTCTAAAGCACTCACCTCTTTCTTCCCCCCATCGCCATGAGAGAATTTGGATAAAAAGAGGGTTCGAAGGAACTGTCTCCTCTTGAGGGCTAGAAAACGGGTCCTCTGAGTTGACATTAAAGAATGTCTTCTCTCTGAGGCTATTGTAAAAAATTTTCCATCTGTGGGGTGTTTTTTTTTGTTTGTTTATTTGTTTGTTTTCTAGTTAGGAAGAGTCTAAAAGATAAGATGGTACTTAATTTGATAACAAAGATTGTATTTGGTACCGCTTTGCTTTCCCTTCCTCTTCTTTGCCCTGTTCCATTGGTGCTCCTTCAGTATGTGCTTAGTGAGTCGGTGTTGTGGGAGAAAAGTGTGTCTATAAGGTCTCAGGATGTAAATCAGAGAAATGAGAGGCAAGCAGGACCTTTCCTCTGCTTGGTCTTCTCATGTTGACCAAAATTCCCACTATGAATTAGAAGCCCTCTTGAATTAAGGCATTTATTTTTCAAAGCTCCCACTGAATCACATATTTGGGATAAATGTTCAATCTGTGACTTGATCAGTCTATTGTTCTTCTTCTAGTCCTGTTAGCAAAGGGCAGAGCCCTGGTATACTGGGGTTCAGGATCCAGAACACTTCTAAATTGAGTAGGGTTGGCAGAGTTTACCGAAGTGTGGCAACATACTATCAATGGCATCGGAGACGGTTTTAGGGAAGACCCAGATGGAACCTTACATAATATTGAATTGCCCTGTGTGAAAGTTAGTTTCTTTTAAAATCTCTCATTCTCTAGCTTATCTCTTTTGGCAAAGCATGGAGAGGCAAGAGTTGATAGTATTATTTAGTTGATAGTATTATTTTACTCAAATGTTATTTTCATTTTTATGGTTACTAGCCATTATTGCAAGTGATAACAGTAATGGCATTTTTCCTTTCAAAATATTTCCTTTCAAAGTAGTATAGTGTGTCAATTTAAGAAAAAAATGTGACTTAAATCATAGTACAAGATACAGAGGTTTGTGGCAGCGATTAATTATATGGGTGACATGAGAAAACTGATTCTTGGCAACCACTGGAGTAGGGAAATGCCATTGAGAAATGCCATTGCCAAAGGCCCCCACTAGGGAAGCAAGCCACAGGCAGTCATACCCAGTAGGGTGATGGCTTCCAGATGTAGAGTTAGAGGCTGCCTTGGAAGCTTAGAAGGCAAGGCCAGGGGAGAACCCTTATGTGGCTTATAATGTGGTGCAATCCCCGTTTTCTCTTCTGTCCGAAGAGGCAGTGTGGTGGGGCCCAGCTTTTGCCAAACTGGTGTTCTTCTTATCAGAGAAGGTAAGGAGTACTCTTCCACAGGGAGAGGGGCTGCCATAGTATCCTACAATGCAGTGGCTTGTTTGAAGTACGTTTCTCAGTCAGACCTGCTCAGGGAATGCTTTTGTCACTGGCCTGATAAAAGTGCTCTTCTGAAAAACATCTGTTCACCAAGAACCTGGACTTCACAGCCGCAGGACATCATCCTTTTTGTGAATTAGAGCTATTTATTCTACTTTCCTCTTTAACCCCATTTTCATCCATTCGTATGACAGTGAGTCACTGTGCATACACTCTGTGCATATGAATTTTCCAAGTAGGGCTGCATTAGAAATAGTCTGTTAGTTAATGCGATCATATTGTTAACTCCCTGCCTGGAGTTTGTGGAGCGCCTTGGTTGAGCTCATATTGCCTTTGAATGGGCGCCGGACACCCCTGCTCCAAATTCTGAAATGGAAATCAGACTCATCTCCCACATACAGCAGCCGAGTGATAGCCCAGCTAGAGGGAACCATCTTAGTTAATCAGTGTACTCCAAGGGCTGCCAGGCAATTCTTTTCCGAGAAATCTGTTGATTATCAGGGTTTGACCCAGACCATTGCTGAGAGAAAGTTCATTTTATAACTTCATGATTTTCTTCCCTCCTGCTTTCTTTCTAATGGCCTTGCTTTTCTATTTCATTTCCCAATCCTGAACATCTGAGATTAAAGAGCCTCTTTTTATGGAGTGTATGCTAAAGTGCTCTGTTAGGCAATATATTCATTACCTGGAGTGAAATGGCTTTTCACAGCCAGGCAGCCTTCTTAGCTTCCCTGCTAACTCTATATTTAAGGATGTCACTCCTTGGGTTTTGCTGGGCAATGGCTCTGTGTCAACTAGTAAAGAAAGAGAAAGAGCGTGTGTGTGTGTGTGTGTGTGTGTGTGTGTGTGTGTGTGTGTTGGGGAAGGGGAGCTTTAGCTTTAATACAGCTAATGAGCACATTTCCATTTTTCATTTTCTTCAGATGTTCAGTGGCTTCCATATGTCTGCTGGGTCCAGTTGGGCATGAGTAACCTTGGGTTTGCCTTTGATGGAGGACATGTGAATCCACTGCATCTCTCACTAGTGTTTATGCCTGAGATCCAATCTGGAATTGCTTTGGAAGAGAAGGAAGGGGAGGAGGAGGAGCAGGAAGAGGAGGAGAAGAGGCATAGTATATGTGTGACTGTCACCGCACCTTTAACAGAGATACTGGGCTGTCAAATGACCACCTACCTCTGAGAGATGCTCCCTGGTGGCCTGTGCCATCAATATGCCTGTCAGATATGGTCAAGTGGGTTTGAAGCTAGTCCCCGTTCCCTTTTCAGTGACAATTTATTTTTTCCTCAAGTTAGGGTTTGGTGTGTGTGTGTGTGTGTGTGTGTGTCTCAGAGAAGAACATTTAGAAGACCCAACACTACCTTGTTGTTCCTCAGTGGCCATTTTTGATGTTTTCACTATTTGGGAATAAAAAAGAATATACATTCAATTTAGGAAGACCCCGTAATCTCTGGTTCTACAGACCAGCTTCATTAGATAAGGTTGCTGAATTCATGACTGCTTCCTCTGCTCCCTGGAGATAGCACATTAGTACCCTTGTCAGTCACAGTGGAGCTTAACAACAGCTGGCTGGGGCTGTGGCCCAACAGTGGAGAAGCAAGCATTAGATTGGTTTTATACATCTCAAATGTATCCTCCTCCCCACCCCTGACAACACACCGAGTGGAAGGCTGCTTTTGTGTCTTTCTCAGTGGAAAGGTTTGCTACTAGTAGGCAAAAGCAATATTTCAACTCTCATAAAATCATTGCAGAATGCCATGTATGTCCAGAGAGAACATCATTGCTTTATTTGTGTTCTTCATTATTTGCATGGTTGCGTTCAAACTGGAAACTTGCACTGTAATTAAGCAGTACTTTTATTTATATTGGAAAGTACGTAAATTGTTTGTCTGTGGCATTCCCTCTAGTTCCCTTGGAAGAGTTGCAAATCCTCTTGCTGGTATAAAATTAAAGACCAGTAAGATGACACTCGAGTAGGATGAGATGCAGTTTCAGTGAGCTTAAAGGGAAATTTTCCAAAGGCTTTCAAAGGCTTGCAGAAAATCAGAAGTAGACAGCATTCTCTATACCTGCAGCCTTTTAAGAAGAATGGTTACAGGTGCTGTGGACATGACATTGTAGACCCGTCGACCTACTAGGCTTTTACTTCAGAGATTATTTTTCTAAGACAAACCATGCACAAAAGGATACTGGAGAGAACCATTAAAATGGTGTATGGTATACTTTTGTTCAGGGGAAGAGCTAAAAGCGGATTGGGAGGAAGACAAGGCAATCCTTTATACTTTTCTTAAGTAAAATGAAATTACTGACTGATACCACTAATTTTTTCCCCCTGAAATAAACTGTTTTTTATTTTTATTGTTTTTTGTTTTTCTCAATAGCACCATCATCCATTGCTTTGGTCCAGGCTAAAGAGGTTACCAGATACAGTGTTGCCCTGGCTTGGCTGGAACCAGATCGGCCCAATGGAGTGATCTTAGAGTATGAAGTCAAGTATTATGAGAAGGTATTAATTGAATGAGCAAACTTCTGCCCTCCCTTTCTTTTCTTTCCCTCCCTCCCTCCCTTCCTTCTCCTCCTCCTCCTCCTCCTCCTCCTCCTCCTCCTCCTCCTCCTCCTCCTCCTCCTCCTTCTTCTTTTTCTCCTCCTTCTTCTTTTTATTTTTTTCATCTGTTTTTTGGCCAATTATAAATCCTGAAATACCAGTGAATCTCAAAGCCAAATGCAGTTTGCTTCATAATCAAATCCAATTATGAATTTTATGTATTAAGTTATCTTCAAAAACAGAAAAAAAATACATTGCATTCTAATGTAGCTATAATGTTTTCTTTCTAGTAATGGAATTTAAAACAGCTAGTTCTAATCTGTAACCTTCTATCAGGAGAGTGACTCATAAAAGATGAAATGATGATCTGCTTAAGTAGATCACTGCTATTCAGAATCAAGGTGTGGCTTTTGATGACTTTTAATAGAAAACCAGGGAAGAAAAATTCCATTCTTCTGCCTCTTAAAGTTATAGAAAGACATTATTTTTACAAATAACTTTTCTCCCTTAAGGACAGAATTCTGAAGGGAACTATTTGCATTCAAAGTTGTCTAGAAAAATGAGCAATTGTTTTCTCTTTTTAAAGATAATCATTTATTGGCTTCCTTATTAAAAGCAGAAAAAGGGGAAGGGTTTTTTGTGTGTTTTTTCATTGAAACCAGATTACAACATTTTTGACATTTTCTAGACAGAAAAGTAGAAAAAGACAAGGGACTTTCTTACAGTTATTTCTGTTAAATTGCTGTGTGTGGAGTGAGAAAAGCCATCAGTCATCACCTAATTGTCTTTTCTAAAAAAGATCATGGGTAAAGATCTGGCCCTAACCAGTTTGGGTCAGTGGATAGAGCATCGGCCTACGGACTGAAGGGTCCCGGGTTCAATTCTGGTCAAGGGCATGTACCTTGGTTGGGGGGGGTACATCCCCAGTGGGGGGTGTGCAGGAGGCAGCTGGTCGATGTTTCTCTCTCATCGATGTTTCTGACTGCTGTGTGTGGAGTGAGAAAAGCCATCAGTCATCACCTAATTGTCTTTTCTAAAAAAGACCATGAGTAAAGATCTGATTGTGCTCAGTGTCAACAATGATCATACAACTCTACATTTCTTTCAACATCTAGAAATAACAGTAGTATTTCTAACATTGAAGAAAATGTAGTGTTTAGAGAGTTAATCAAACTCCATTTTCTTTCAGCTTCTGAGTAGATTGGCATGGCTCCTTTAATTTTGTGCCTAGATAAGTGGAGGATTTCTTTTGCCATCTTCCTCTATTTTATCTTTCCACAATGTAGGATCAGAATGAGCGAAGCTATCGCATTGTCCGGACAGCTGCCAGGAACACTGATATCAAAGGTCTGAATCCTCTGACTTCCTATGTTTTCCATGTCCGGGCCAGGACAGCAGCTGGTTATGGAGATTTCAGTGAGCCCCTGGAGGTCACAACCAACACAGGTAAGAAGTTCTGAAGTTCTTTTGACCATTCAGGGCAAGTCCTATTGCAGGAAAATCCAAGGTATTGCACATCATTTTTGGTTAGGCAAACGTTTTGTTGCAATGAACAATGACTGTAACTTGGAAAACGTCATGCTATTTAGAGAAGAGCATTTTAAAATAATATTATTAGATCTGTTTTTTCATGTGATTGAAAAAAAAGGTCTATTTTGTTTGTTTTCAGCATTCTATAAACCATGAGAAATGAGATCACTGAACCAATTGAGAGTTGCATAGCTAGGAAATTTTCCTCCTGGGAAGACTGGAAAAAGGGCCATTTTTTTTTCTCTTTCCTATTTTTTTCTACGAATCTTTTTAAATCAAGTCAGACCATTTTTGTTTGTTCGTTTGTATGTGTGTGTGTATTAAAACTCTTTTGGACAAATATATCAACTCTTTCAACATTGTGAGTTGGACCAACTGGTTGATTAAGTAAAAAATATTAACAGAGGGTGTACCCATCAATAAGCAGGTTACATAAGATATCTCCACATCCATAATTAACTAACCAAAATTGAGCCCAGTTGATAAGGAGATGGTGGAGTAGAATTTTTGACATCAGTTCTAGAAAGTAATTATATTCACAAGTTATTAAGTAAATAAAAAAAGAACAAAAACAAAAGCAGAGGAGAAAGTACTCCAGAATTAAATTGGTAGGGGTTTGACATCCTTTGGGATTATCCTGGAAGCCTTCAAGGAGGAAGTGGCCTTTGAACTGGACACTAATAGGCAGGTTTTTGATAGTTTTGGGAGGTGTGGGAGGGAGAGGAACATTCAAAATTGCTTGTCCTTTCTGAAATTTCCCACTAAGGAATGCATCAGATTTTTATGTAAGAGTTAGGAGTAAGAGAAGAAAGGAAAAGAAGAAGAAGAAGGAAAAAAAAACAACCCACCTTCCTGGTGATGTTTACCACAGGATTTAATAAGAATCTTCTGGTTGAATTTTTTCATGCAATTATGAAAAGAATGCCCTTGTCTCATTAAGGCTGCCTTAGAAAACGCTGTTGCATGAATACTTAACGAAGGGCAAAGAGGCTGTGAGCATTCTAAATGGCTTCAGACATTTGAAACTTGTGACCCAGTCAGAAGTGCTCCCTCTTAGGACCTTCCCAAAGGTGATCCTTGTGTGACTGTCTTTACCAGTGCCTTCTCGGATCATTGGAGATGGGGCCAACTCCACAGTCCTTCTGGTCTCCGTAGCTGGCAGTGTGGTGCTAGTGGTCATTCTCATCGCAGCTTTTGTCATCAGCAGGAGGTAAGCACTTAAGCCACTCACTGAACCACCCTCCCTTCCCAGTTTTTATGAGGGAGCTTTTTGTCCCCTCCACACAAAGCTGAGGCTTTGATTAGCATTATAAACACAACATTTGCATCTCAAGCCCCGTTCTCTTGGCTTTGATCTCCCCACACCCCTCCTGGAGCTGCTGACTGTACCCTGGTGGGAGCTCTCAGAGTTGAGAGCCTGGAAAGACCCAACTAATTCCAGGAAACCAAGCTGCAAAGCAAGCCGGTGGGAGACTTCTAGATGCTCTAAGCTGTAAGGTGTTACATTTATATGTCTCTTAAGCTTGGACTTACTGCCAAAGGCAAAAAAGAGAAAGCCTTATAAAAATTGGGACCAAAATTTGTGCTCTGCCATTTGTCAGCTAAATTACTTAACCACTTTGAGTCTTGGTTTTCCTTTTATTAAACAGGGGTAATGATATCTGCTTCAAAGAGTTATTGATGGAGACATTTGATAGACAAAGTAGATAATATGGCACACAGTAGGTGCCTCAGCATTTCCAGACAGTATCCATTGAGTACACTGTAGGCATAGCATTATTCTTGGAAATAAACATAAAACAGCCAATTACTTAGTCTCTGTAACTTTACAATCTAACTTGAAATTTTAAAAACCATCTAGAAAAGAAAGAAGTAAAAATGGTTTGGCAGCATATTCCTTTGAAGCAGCTTTTCTTATTGCTGTTGCCTCCATCTGCTTATTAATACTGCCTGGAGCCTCTGGAGGGAAAGGGGTGGGAGGGGCGGGCAGCTGCTCTTCTTCAACCTGTGCCCACATCTAGGCCTTCTTTATCTCCTGTGAGCAAAGCTGCCCCTTCTCTGATCTCATGCCTATACCATCCACTGTTTCACAAGGTGAGGCTTTGGGCAAAACAAACAAACCCACAAAAATGCACAACCTAAAAATGTCAAAATGATCCTCTTAAACATAAACCTTTTATGTTAGGGAAGAGGAAAATGATACCCAGGAAGATGGCGTACTTGTCCAGAGTCATGACACTGGCCTAGAGGCAGAGCTTCTCTAAGACCCCAGAAGCCATGCCGGGCTCTCAGGCCACTGTGATCTTTGGCTATTTCCAAATATGCCTCTTGGCAAGTGACCATGCCTTTCCCTCGCTTTGGTGATACATTATAATTAAGGTGATGACCATATAGCTTACTTTGCCTGGATATGGTCCCAGTTGTCACATGTATTTATTAATATCACTCTCCAAAATGCCTATTATATAGAGATCAATTTTGGTCACTTTAACATAGTATAGAACAACTCCTCATGGTGTGTGGGAACCTACATTTGTCATCCTGCTAGCTTTTATTGGTGCAAAGTCTAAACTAGATAAGTTTGATCAGAGTATCTTGTTCCATCCTGAAGAAGTTAAATCTACCACAACTCTCATCCTTGTTGCTATAATGCACATATCCATGTATACATGCCTGATCCATCCTATGTGATGGTACATCTTGGCCTTCGGACACTTCAGCTGGCCTGAACAGAACTTGAATTTCCAGTGTGCTTTGCTTCCCTGGCATTGATTTTGGAAGTAAATCAAGATGGACTGCTTTCTTGTCCATTGCCATTTGATTTTGTGTCTGTATATACCTGCCAGGCATATAAACACTTGGGGAATGGTATGCATTAATATATATCCATCTGATAGTGGGAAACAGGGGTCAGATGGGGGAGAATAAAAATTACAGAGCATTTCTTTCATTATTACATATTTCTGCATTTGAAAATTTCACAGTATATATAAACAACTTCTGTTATCAGAAAATGTAGATGTTTAAAGGTCTAAAAATAGAAAACCATTATTAATTATCTTAACTTCTAAAAAATATTTGGTTGAAATCCTTCACCATGTGATTCGCAGAACCATTTGAGACAACTCATGTTACCAGGAAGTGGGTCTCTTCTTGTGTCTCCACCTTCTCTCTGATGTTGGTTGGAAGCATTTTCTAGTTGTAGTTCAAATTTCTTGGAGATTTACCTTTTAAAAAAATAATTTAAGTTTTCCTGAATATAGCAGTCAAACCAGAGTCATAAGTCACCTCATTATAAGTTTCTCTTGGATGCTCTTCTGCTTGGATGAAAAGGAAGGGAAATGTAATGCAGGAAGACAAGTTTATTAAAAGCCATAGCTCTAGAAAATAGCATCGCAAGCCTGATGACTTAATTTCCTCTTGGCTTTTATTGATCACTTTATTATTTAAGGCAGGATTGATAGCAGGATGCATCGGATTTCCAATTATGAGTCCCCACCTTAGAGAATTGAGCCTGTCGAGTTACCCAGCGATGATTCCTGGCCCTTCTTCCCCATTTAAAAAAAAATGTCACTTCCCAAGGCTGATAAACACTGCTTGGTGATTGGTCCTCAATGGATCATTTTTTAGAAAATGAAATGTCAACCCCTTGCCCTCCTATTGATTCTGCTTTAGTGTCGGCCATAAAGCTGTCATGGGAAGGCTGCCGGGAGCCAGGTAGCGACAGGTCTTGCTGGGGCGGATGCACACTCAGCTGATTCTTCTTCACACGCAGGCATGTGCTTTGTCATGTTCCTCGGCAAATGTTGAAGTGGGACAAGAACAGGTGAAGAGAGAGGAGACAAGTCTTGCGGATAAAAGTCTGGCCCATGCTTTTAGTGAGAGTGCAAGTGAAAGGTGGTAAATGGTACCCCCAAAGTAATCTCGTCACACTGCAGCCAGCAGTCCAGGAAAGCAACAATGAGACTCCCTCCCCTGGAAAGTGATGGGGCTGCTGCTGGCTTCTTAGAGCCACATAATATTGATGACAGGATGGATGCTAGAGACAGACCCCTTACAGAGTGATTCCCCCCGACCTGAATCCAACACTGCTGATGACATCTGAGGGTTTTAAGATGGGCAGGGACCCACAGGGTGAGTGAGAGAAAGTCTGACTACCTCAAAGAGAAAGTCTGTTTGGTGCTAATTTGTCCTTTAACAAGAGGAAACGGCCTCAGGCTCACAGCTGGTATCTTACTAGATTTTTTTTTTTTACTAGTAATTGTGTCATTTATTTCATCACATTGGGATTATGCTAAGAAGCCTGAGCTTTAGGCAAGCCAAAGTAAGCTTCATTTTTTTTAATGAAAAGATCCACATTTTTCTTTTGGCTAACTTGGATGTGTAAACATTTAGGGATCTTAGTGACAGTCCAGCTACTAAGTTTATAAACTTTATATACTTAAAATGATATGTTATGCAAAGTACGTTGACCACGATATGCTGTATGTTTTTACCGCCCACTTTATGTTAAGCAACTTAACTTACCTTTTTTATAGGCGTCTTTGATTAGTATCATCCCCATCAATCCAGTGATATTTTAAGGATTCTGTCAGCTTTTTGGGGAAGACAATTGTACTTGCTAACTGGATTGTTTATAAAGTGCAGCAGTTCTTGTACACCCCATGGGATGCTATCCCTAGAAATGTTACTGCAAACCACAAATGCACATTCTCTTAGCAGACAGCCTCATTTGCCCATTTGCCTATAGGTACATATTTGTAAACTCTACAGTGCAACCACTTTATTGCTTTTTGAAGTGATTTTTGGAAAGACTATTAACAGTGACATTATAAAATGCAATGATGAGGTCAGAACCTTTAGGATGAATGATGAAATGTGTTAAATTTTTCTGACACTCCATCCCCCTTTATAGTAATGATTTAATTGGGTTTCTTCCAGAAGCATCACAAATAGTATTAATTTGGGTTGCTTTAGGCTAGTGTATCTTCCCCAAATAGTACTTTATTGTTCGAGTATGAAAATCCCTTTTAAGAAAGGACCAGAACACGGGATGACTCTTTTCTAAGATCAGAAATAAGTATTGGCTGATAATCGAGCATAGCTACTTTGATACTGACCTTCTGATGATTGCAAGTGACTCTGGGTTTCCATTTATATTAGGGGTATAATATAAATTCTTTTGCCTGAATTAAGAAAAAGAAGTGAATTGACTTTAAGAAAAAAAATGAAGTGTCTATGACAAAATTTATGGGGGAGTTACACCAATGTTTCTTGTTTAGGAAACTGAGGAATTCTACCTCTGCCATCTCGTATATCAGGAACTTGAGGACTAAAGAGGCAGTTAAACAATTAACTGAACCAAGGTCACACAGTTGGTTAGTTGCTTGATCCAGACAGGAATCCATCTCTCCTGACTTCCAATACTGGCACAGATAGATTATTTTTATGTCTTCTTAACTGGAAATTTGACCTACATCAAAAGCTAACATCGACAGTTCTATCATACCAAAATTGTAAGAGTCTGTCAGTGATGTTGGTAATAGTTGTAATCTGTAAATTAATGTCAAGTCTAATAATGCGTACTATAAAGTCAGACATTGCAAGTTGGTTTTGTCTTCTTAGGAAGGTTAAGATTTGCCACTTTGAAGCCAACTGTTCAAGTAGTGCTAAACCAGTTACCATTCAGTCTGTATCTGCCTTTCCCTGGTGTCCTCATTGGAATATTATGATCACGTAGGAATGAATACACTTAAATGGTAGCCTAAATTGGCTCTGATGAAGCCATGTAAATTCATACAATTAGGGGCAGATGGTACTGCAGGAACATTTCAGAACGACCTTCCTGCAATCGTACGGTTCAATTCCAAACATTTCAAAATGTTGCTTGTGAAGAACATTTAGCCATCATTTGGTTCAAGAACAATGACAACTTAAGGAAGGGAATAAAGAAGGATGGCTTCTATGAATCATCATGAGTGATGCCACTGAATGCTAGAAAGGGTTCTCCTGGACCCGGCTAGTTATGACCTTGCCTTATCTTCTTCAATCTGCACTTTAGCTGAATAAATTACTTACCTTTTACTAATTAGTTTTGGAACAGTGAACCACATCAATCAAATCCATCCACTTGGTCAGGGAAGTTAGTATTTTAATAAAAGCTGGGTTTCAGCTGCGCCCCTGCTCTCTCCCCTCCACTGTTTGGTTTGTTTTATTGAGGATAGTCAAGGTGCCAGGAACAACACATTGGTTGGGAGGGCAGCGCAGGGGCTCCTGCTGATCCTCAACAAAGTCTGTTAATACCCTTATTGTGCCTCCCTTTGACAGAGGGAGGGCTTAGCTCCTTGGCTTTCAAAGTTTCACCTGCAGAGGGGACGCTTTTCTGTGACTCCTGCAGTTGAAAGTTTTCATGTTTCCTTCTGGAGCATTCGCTAAGCAACCACTCCCCTCCTTGCCCTTTTTAAATCAGCTTGCCCACATCTTAATAATTAGAAATTCTTCAACAAAGGTTTCCTTCTGCCATTCAGGTGATCTGCCTCGGAGATCAGTACAGAGTTAGCACATCTTGGGTCAGCCAGCCGGTGGTTTCCTCCGGGCTGGCTGACCCAATAACACACTTCAGTGGGCTTGCTTTCTTGGGACAATAAAGGCCACATTGTCCTACCCTGAGACAAGGAGAAAGGGTCATCAGGTGACAAAGGTAGAGCAGGACCGAGGCATTTGAGTTTTCAAGGTATTATTAAAAAGCTAATAGGCTACAATTAGCCTTTGAACAATAATTCCAGTGTTTCTTTTCCAGCATTCCCTGTACTTTTGTAGGGTCCTCTCCTCCGAGTCACACTGCAAAGTAAAGAAGTTTTGCCTCTAATTTAATTCCCCCTCCAGGTTTAGGAGTCTGAGGAAAGGATGGACATGTCAGCCTTATAATTAATGATCCCTGCCATTTTGCATTTCCTCCGGCTTAGCACGTATTTAATGAATGTGCTAGATATGAAACAGATAACCCCACCCCTGGGCAGCTTGAGGCCCCTTGTTTCTATAGGTGCATACCAGCGTTTTTTTATGAGCTTAGTCGGTACCAAAGCTCTCCTGCTGTATGCATTTCCCCTCCCCTGCCTCTTTTTAAAGGAGAGATGTTCCAATCAGTATTGGAGATCTAAAGTGGTTTAAAAGATATACTTGTAATTTTAGATAATGCTTTTAGGAGCTCTGATAAGATACAATCTCTGAGGCTGGCAGGATCCTATCACTCCCTTGGGACGAAGCCAGGAGGAGTTTCCCTGACATGAAATGTTGTTTTCATGGTCCCTGACTTAACACTCCTGTTTCCTTTAAAAGGGGAAGGGTGGGGAGAGGTTTGGATGGGACTATATCTTTCTTACTAATGTTTGGTTGCAGCATGCTTAAACTTGCTTAGTTTCCTTGATGAAGAAGTGGATTTTGAGAGCAGAGTGGAATACAATTTAAGTGGATTTACTGACATGCAATGTAAAATTACTTATCTTTAACTCTCATGCTATCGTATAGCTTCATCTGCACTATGAGAAGTATGTGACGTGTGAGCCAGATCAGGGCAGACACAGTCTGGTACTTGCTGAGAGGGTCATGGGTGGATCTCTTCCCTGCTGCCCCCATCCCCTTGTCTGTACAGTGGGACTGAGTGTGTGTGTGTCTGCCTGATTGCTCTCATAGAGTTATGGTGAAGATGCAACTAAATAGTAGATGTGAAGACTGTTCCAAAAGTGAACTACAAACTAAAAAGACAAACTGTTATTTGGGACTGAATCATACATGCTTTGCCTTAACTATCGTAACTGGGTCTCTGTTTACTAAGCTGCTTCCTGCTTTGCAAACAGTTAGGGGAGGAGTAATGAGAGCACTTTGAAACGTTAAATACAGTGCAGAAGTGCAAGGTGTTATTATTTGCAAGGGAATTACACACACTGAGGGACGTCTGTTGGCTCCGAGGGGCTGACGGTGGAGCTGGCTCCTGCATTGCTGACAATGAGGAGAAGAATGCGGTGAGAGGCCTGGAACATGTGACCGTGATAGGGCTGCCTCTGTCCTCGCCTGGCTTGATAGGTTCTTCTCCCTTTACATGATCATCTGCCCTCAATACTCGTTCACAGTCAGGAATTGGTTACCAGATTCCAACAGGACCACACTGGCCTTCGGGGAACCTTTGTCACCTCAGAGCCTCAGTTTCCTCATATGTAACAGTCTTGACTGATCTCCTCTTTAAAGCTCTGAGAAAATACAAAATGGTTATAAACTCCAATGTCAACTTGACATTTTTGACAGAAACATAAATGTACGCATTGTATGCATTAATTTGGTCTCATCTTTCCAAACTTTAAAGATCTGTAATAGCAACTGAGTTAATTTTTCGATTTCTTTATGTGATATTTATACACATATATATGCACACACATCCTATATATAAAAGCCTAATATGCTAAGTATCTGACTGTTTGTTCGACCATTAGACCAGTCGCTATGACGTGCACTGACCACTAGGGGGCAGATGCTTCGACTGGTGGTTTAGCTTGCTGCTGGGGTCCAGCCAATTGGGACTGGGAGAGATGGGTTAGACACGCCCTGGAGCCCTCCTGCAGCTCCTCCTCAGCCCCGATCATGCACCAGTGGGGTCCCTTGGCCTGACCTGCTCCCTCTAGCAATACTGGCTTAAGTTTTATATATAATAAAGATTTCTGAGTCCCAAAACTTTATAGCAAAGCCAAATCTCACTCCTAGAGGGTATTTGGAAAAATAGTGAATGCCAACTGCAAGGCCATACACCATTTTTTGGAAAGAGAATTAGACTACAAATGGAAACTTCTCATTTTCACTTTTGCAAATTTTCTACAAACTCTTAAGGAATGTAATCTAGTACAAAGAAAATATTTACCCTTGAAAGTTCCATTAATAATTGAGGATTTTTGTATTCAGCAGCTGAAACCAATAACCACAAGACTATTGCTGTAAGAATATCATATAATATGATAATGAGTTACCTATCACATACTGAACATTATTGCTATTTGATTTAGGCAAAATTCTTCCATGGAAACTATTTTAACTTAGAATACATATGTGGAACTTAGCCAATAAATTTGTAATCTATCTTCAATAATATACATTTCTTTGAGGATTTGAAGTTGTAATTTTTTATAAAATATTTGCTTTATCACCTCAGTTTAATATAGTGGTTAGGAGCAGAGGCTCTGCATTCTGACCACTTGTGCTGGAAACCATGATTCACTAACAAGATGACAGATTATTTACCTTGTTAGTTCACTTCCATAAACCTCAGTTTTCTCATCTGTGAAATGCTTGACATATTATGGTATCAAAAACTTATGTTCTTTCAGCTTTTGAAATTTGTTTTCTATTTTAATATTTTTTAATAGACGGAGTAAATACAGTAAAGCCAAGCAAGAGGCAGATGAAGAGAAACATTTGAATCAAGGTACGAAACATTGGATTAGAAATAATTTTAGTTTTAGACCAAGTCTCCTGTTTTCAGTTTAGAAATGTCTGAATAATATTCACATAGCTGTTCATATTAGATTCCTTTTATAGGATTATCTAAATAATATACTTTGGGGTATCAAACTGAAACTGGTCAATGGGGATTCTTGAAAGTGAGATTAAAGATGGGGGTTGGGGAAATTCCTTTAGAGCCTTCCCCCCCACCCCTTTTTTTCCTTCTTTTATCCTCCACTCTGAAAAGATATTGGTCTAGCTCAGTGGTCAGCAAACTGTGGCTCGCGAGCCACATACGGCTCTTTGGCCCCTTGACTGTGGCCACGAAGTTTCAATCGCACTGTATGTGCGCGCCCACACGTGGTATTTTGTGGAAGAGCCACACTCAAGGGGCCGCAGTTTGCCAACCACTGGTCTAGCTGGCTCATTTTTGTAGTTGGGTGGCAATAAACAGGTAAGAAATTTTTTTTTCACATTTGAAGGTAACAATTTTGGAGAAGGAATAAGGAATTGAGCTGTAATTGCTATACCTCCTCTTCCCCCAATATGTAGAATTCAGGACCATCAGTATTTCTTTAGTGGATTCTAGTTCTTTTGATCCAAAAGGGATCAATGAATAAATTCAAAGAATTGGCTCTAGAATGACTTGAGGAAGAGACAAGACTTTTAAGTGGACAGAGGTTGATAACCCTTCAGGAACACTGTTCATTAGAAACTCTGAGATGATAGCACAGTACTCTCCATCTGCACTGGCCAATATGTTAGCCAACAGCCACATGTACTGTTGGATACTTGAAAAGTACCTAGTGTGAAGGAGAAAGTAAATTGTAAATTTTATTGCATTTTAACTAATTAACATTTAAATAGCAACATGTGGCTAATAGGTCCCCTATTAGACAGCGCCAGGAGGTAAAAGGAAGAGAGAGGCTAGCAGTAGGAAGAATAATCTTGAGAAAGATTTTCTTGGGTGAAGTATCTAAAGTCATAAAGGCTATGTAGGGCTTGACAACGTTTTATTATTTACCTTGTTTTCTTAAACATTTTTTAATTTGCACGATGTATATATTTTTAAAAACAAAAATGTAATTTTTCTGTGATAAGGACAAGACTGACAGGCCCAAAAAATCAAAGGGATTGGGACATTCATTGTCTTATACCCTCTCAGTGCCCCCAAGCCTCAAGAGCTCAGGCAGGGGAAGGAGAGGTGTGAATGCCAGCAGAAAGTTCCCAGGAATTATAGTGCATCCCCCGGTGGTTCCAGAGGTCACATTCTGAATTTTTTTGCAAGTGGCTGTGGGATATGGCTAAATTACACTTTCTGGTATTCAAACCATTCACAGTTAGGCTACCTTTCCTTAGCTAAAGCTTCCAGGTGAGCTTCAATGTCTTTACTTTTTCCCAAAACAGAAAAAAAAGTGGAGATCCAATGGAGAGGCTATATTCTCAATCAATTTGCTGAGATGATCCCTCTTGTCTATTTTAACCTAGGTTTAATCTTACTTTGTTAATTGTTGGTCACATATTTAATTGGTCCAGATATTGGGCAAAAAGGTGACACCATGTAGACAAGGCCAGTTGAAAAAGAAAGTTCTTATTATCTCACTAAAGGAGGATAGCTGGAGATGGTGGGTAGGATAAGGACAACTGATGAGGAAACAATATTCAGTTAACACATTCCAAATTTCCTTATAGAACTCTCATTTTCTCCCTGGGATGAGTTGTTTTTTAAAAAATTTGTCCTTGAAGTGTGAAGATATTTCAGGAAGTCAGGCGAGCTGCAGCCACTTAAGTAGTTAACGATTCTTTGTTTACGCACTAATGACAACCAGAGCAAGAATTTAAACATTGTCATATGTCTACACCAAGTCTGTTTTATCGTGCTAAAAAAACGTTCCCTGTGCTAAGTATTTGTAGACTTAAGTTTATTAGTGGCTCCTGAGAAGTGTTTGGTCACTCTATCATGTGTCTTTTACTTAGGTGTTAGAACTTATGTGGATCCCTTTACATACGAGGATCCCAACCAAGCAGTTAGAGAATTTGCCAAAGAAATCGACGCATCCTGCATTAAGATAGAAAAAGTCATAGGAGTTGGTAAGTGTCTGTCTAATAAACCTATTTTCTTTGTGGGTATTAAATATCCATATATGATTATATAAATGCATATGGGTGTATTGTGCGTACATGTCTATATGTAAATATCTGTGAACATGACATTTCCTGGCTTTATGTAAAACACTAACACTGTGCCTGGCGGGTAATAAGCACTCAACAAATGTTTGCCATTACTCTTTCATCTTGAATGTGTTTCTGGTCCACAGTCAATTCTTTTTCTCTCCCGAAGGTGAATTTGGTGAAGTCTGCAGTGGGCGTCTCAAAGTGCCTGGCAAGAGAGAGATCTGTGTGGCCATTAAGACGCTGAAAGCCGGTTATACGGACAAACAGAGGAGAGACTTCCTGAGTGAGGCCAGCATCATGGGACAGTTTGACCACCCGAATATAATTCACATGGAAGGCGTCGTCACCAAATGTATGCGGGTCACTCCCTTTACAAAGCCAAGTTAGAAGTTCCTGGCAAATTAAACACACATTTCTTTCCAGGGAAATGACAGATGGAGCAGCCCCACTGATTGCTAATAGGAGGAAATCAGTGCAGGACAAGTCATTAATCTTGTAGTCAGCTCTAAATGGGTCTATGGTTTAGGCTGATACCACTCTTTCCAAGGCAGCTTGTGTGAGATTTTAGGGAAATTAATATTGCAGATTTTTGGTATGCCTTGCCATCTTTCAGATCTTTGCTAGACCCAACTGACTGTCACAAGGTAGGCACAAGCAGATGGTAAGCACAATAAATTTTAAGTACTTTTCATATAAAACACAACAAAAACCTCACCACACCTTGTGCTTGAGGCTTCAGTTCCAGATGCGGGGAGTGGATCTTGGGAATCTTTATTAGGCTGGGGGATTTGCTTGTCTGCTCTGCCTGATTTATGGCTGCTGCAGTTCAGCACCCAGTTACAGTAACACCTGGTTGAACTTTCCTTTTTTAGTCCATTAGCATTCCCTGAGCCTGCGAACCACGCTTCAGTTAAAACACAACACAGCTCCACAGATGTATTTTACAAAGCAAACCCTGAATGCATTGGTGAGGCTGGCTAAGACCAACTTATAAAATGCCACATGGACAACGCAGCTGAAGTGGTTATTACTGAAGGTGGCTCTGTTCCAGGAACCTTAGTACCTCCTACAGTTCCTACAAGTCAAGGATCCTGTAAGCCTGGGACTATGGCTCCGGGAAGCCCAGGGTGCCTCTTACTTGATTGGAGGTGCCTGTGAAATGCATCCTCAGACATCGTGTATAAAGTGGCTGCTCCAATGGGTGAAGGGAAGGAGGGAGGGTTGGTTAAATATTAAACGTTGGACATTAGACCTGAGGCCAAGGGGGAGGTCTGACACAGGGCATAAAATCTTTAAGAAGAGAAAAAGAGGTTACTAAAAAGTGAGGAAGTATACACTAGTTCAGAGGTCCCCACACTTAAACATGCATCAGAATCCTGAAAAACGTGTCAAATCAGTTTCCTGAACCTCGTCCTCAGGTGGGGTGAGGTCCAAGAGTTCAAATTTCAAGCTGTAAGATAAGCCAAAGGTGCATGCGGTTCCTGGGACCACACTTCACAAACCTACGTTTAGCCCAGTGACCTAAGATTTACACGCTGGCTAAGCAGGTGGCCTTGACTTGTTGCTCAATATTTCACTTTCCTCACCTGTAAAATAGAGATAACATAGAACTTGCCTTACAAGGTTATTTTGGATGTATTATGTAGGGTGGTTAGCATAATGCTTGGCACATAAAAAAACAAAACAAACTCGAAGTGTTAGCTGGTGTTATCATGTCTTAAGAAGTACATCTCTCCCCATCTTCAGAATTCTTCAGAAAAAGGATCTTTAGGGAGAAGGATACACAGTTTTTCCACCTAAGGTGAAAGCTATAATTAGCATAGAATAGCTCTATTTGCTTTTTAAGATTAGTTTTACAGACAGGATATTTTTCTGTTGCCTGTGGCCTTAGGGGCTGTCCAGAGTCCTTCACTACTTTAATTAAAAGATAACATTCCGTCTAAATACTTCTGCAGGTCCAGCTTCTCAAAAGGAGGCTCTGTTCAGCTTGGGGTGTTTTTCCTGCGGCAGACAGTGATTTTCACAGCACCTCTGTAGAAGAGAGAAGAAACAGGGGATCTTTGTGTGAAAGTCCCACCGTGCCTCTAAAACCCACAGCTATTACAGCTGTAACTGTTATAAACGACTGGGTGCATTTGCATAATGCAGTTGTCACTGAATTAAAATGATTTAAAATTTCCACCAGAGGCGCTGTCCCCTCCCCCCACCTCTCCCCTAGCCACCCGCATCCCCCTCTGTTCCAGAGAAGGACCCACTTCCACCCATGAGCCCAGCCTAGGCCAATTTTATAAGCCCCTTTGCTTCTGCAGATATTCATCTTTATTTCTCTTGTAGAGCTCATAAAGATTCTGACAAATGGATACTGTTAATAAGCAGAAAAAGGAATGTAGAAAAATTGTGAAGATGGTGCCAACAGTCGGACTAGGGAGGTGTGAGGGTGAAAAGGTGGCCTGGAAGAGTGTGATTTCATTACCAGCAGTTACTTGAGTAACTTTTTAAATTGACAAGGAGACTATAAATTCTCCCCACTACCCCCCTGTCTTTTGGATCCTCCACTCTCTTCTCCCGCATCTCCAGAGGGTCTGGTGAAATGGAAGTAGGTGTTAACGCTCCACCAGGAGGGTCACCCTTTCTCATGAGTTGACAAAGTATCTTTTGATTGAGGCAGGTTAATTAAAACTCATTTAGATGCATTTGTGTCTATCTGGAAGACTGGGGTCACAGATGTAGAGGGTAAATGAAGCTAAGAACTAAGAGCTTCCTGTTTAAATTGATGGCGAGTGGAGAGGTGGACAGGGACCACCCTCACCCTCTCCAGCCAAGGAGAGAGACTGGAAGTGGTTTGACTCATCCTTCAGTCTTCACCATGATTCCTGCTTTTTCTGCCAGCTTTCATTCATCACTTGAAATTAAAATCTCCAGGGTATTGGTTTCTAATCCAAAATTTTTGCTTCAGAAAGATTTCTTAGACAGGACACCAAAAACACAATCAAGAAACAAATTGATAAATTGTACTTCGTTGAAATTAAAAATGTCTGTTCTTCAAAACTGTTGCCTCTGAAACAAAGATGTGTCCTTTTCCCCTCACCAGAATAGTCTACTCTGATAGGGGTTCTGGGCGGGAAATGTATTTGTATAGAATAATTTTGGGTGCTTTTCAGCAGTGGCATATCCCAGCCCATTTTCCCTAAGTCCAAACAGTCCACAATTACATCAATGAAAGTGTGAATATTTTTGATTTATTATCAAACTAACATTTTATTTTCCTCTCAGGGAATCTTTTATGTTCTCTTTCCTCTAAAGCTTCCCTTAGTAAAATATTGAGGATTTATGCACCCCCTCCCTCCCCACTCCCACAAATCCCCTTTAGAAAAAAGGAATTTCAGACCTTGAGTCCATTGCCAGCGATTAAGAAACTAAAGAATGGTTCTAATTTCCTAAGGTCCTCAGAAAGAAAACTAAAGTGAAATAAAAATGGTGTTTCTCTACTTCCCCAAACCTTAATATGATTTTGATTTTTTTTTGCCAAAAAGAGAGAGAGAGAGGATGGAGTGGAGAGCAAGAATGTTCTAGTACTGAATTAAGAGTGCTGTCTAGGATGAAATAATTTAATGAACTTTTTCTGTGATTTTGTTGTTGCTGACGTTGGTGGCTTAAGGAAACAAATAGAATAAGTTTATTTATAGAAAGGGAAAGAGAGACAAAAGGATACAACCCCTAATCTGAGCAAGGAGAAGAAAGAAGTTAATATTGTTCATGCTTGATCTTTAAGATGTGTCAGAGCAATGAAGTCATCAACATAGCTACTGCTTTCTGAAACTTGGGTTTCTCCAAATAAGTAAAAAAAAAAAAAAAAAGTGTCTCTGTCCATTGATTCCTTTAGTATCACACAAGTGGTTCTTCTGGGGACAAAATTAATTAATTATCCTAAAGATTTTTTTTCCGCCTTTAAACAGGCCTGCTCATTTATCTTCTTCCCCTTTGGCTTGAGAGAGCAATTATCCATTCATGTGCTCCCTGGGTACCAGAGGCCACTTTAGTTAAAGACCTTGTCAACAAGCCATGCAAAGGGTTAACCTTCCAGATGGAACTTAAACCTACTTGTCTTTTTAATATTTCATTCTAGCTTTCCACAGCTGAGGCATAAGCTTGGCTTGTTTTAATTAAATTAGATCACACAAGACAGGTGTCTTGGCAGTAAAATTGTGCACAGCCCATTTTTATCTCATTAACTGCAGTGCTCATCAAGGGTTTGTGTTTTTCTTTCTCAAAACTCTAGGTAAACCAGTGATGATCATAACAGAGTACATGGAGAACGGCTCTTTGGATGCATTCCTCAGGGTATGTGACTGCTTTATATTAAACCCAAGAATGTTGGTATTCAGAAAACTCTTACAGACTCCTTGCATCCATTGTATTTGGTGGCATTTCTTAATGGGGCAAAAGAAGAAGGGGAGAAATAGAGAATGATGTGATTTTTAAAGACTATTAGGTAATCCATGTATTTGATTTATTCTTATATTGTGGTACTGTTTGAGTCTTAAATTCCTTACAGTTGGATAATTTCCATCTGTCACAGGAAGCAAACCCAGCTTCTCGGATATACTCACTTTACTAGTGAATTAGTGACTTTGGTCACAAAGGCCCAGAAATAATGTTTAATTTGATTGCATACTGGATACAGCTATCAAAAAAGATTCAAGTAAGAGAAATGCTTGGTAAACATTAATTTGGCCTAAAGCTAATGCGATTGTGCCCCATTCCTTTATATGCAGAAGAATGACGGCAGATTCACAGTCATTCAGCTGGTGGGCATGCTTCGTGGCATTGGGTCTGGAATGAAGTACTTGTCTGATATGAGCTATGTGCATCGAGATCTGGCTGCACGGAACATTCTGGTAAATAGCAACTTGGTCTGCAAAGTGTCCGATTTTGGCATGTCCCGAGTACTTGAGGATGACCCGGAAGCAGCTTATACCACAAGGGTAAGGAGGATTTGCAACCTCTGGGTTTTCACTCTGATGAAACTATTCCACTCTGCTTGCTTTGGTGCTTAAGTCCTTTGTGATTACAATAGGCTCATCATCCTTCAGGGCCTCTTCAGAGCCATGCATCCAGTTTTGTACCATGTTTCCTAGACAGGGATTTTGAAACAGTCTCTATATATGCAACCACTTTACAAAGCCACAAAGTAGCCCTTCACTTATTGTATTTTTTTTTACATTTAATTTTTCTTCCCCTTCCTCCCCCCTCCCACCCTTCCTGCTTTCTTTATTTTTTTTTTTTAGGTTTTCTATTTGGTTCTTTTTTATTATTAAAAATAACCTTATTTTAAACAGCACAGAGCATTGTTTCTAGATGTTTGGCTACCAGCTCTGAGAGTGTATATACAGGATTTATAAAGCATTTACACTATGCAGGGTTTTCCAGTATCTAATGGCCTTCATTTTACTACTGGTAGATAAGCCAGGATTAGAGGGCAGTTAAGAGTTATCAGTGTACAGTTAATGGCTGTGCTATCTTAGCTGGGCCATCAGAATATAAGATACTAATGGAATAAGCACAGAATCATAAAAGTTATTGGCCATTAGGGCTGACACTGTTAAAATCAACATGAAGCAGACAGTTACCAGGCATTTAATGCTTACATTTTGCATCTGCAATCCTAAGCATTGGACTTTTTTTGTTTGTTGTCTGGTTGGTTATTGTTTTTTTCTTGTATTGTTCAGTTTCTTTGGTTCTAGTTTTGATTCTTACACATATCTTCTTTTGAATTCCAAGTGCATATTTAGGAAATAATGCATCTTTGTGAATACTGGGGATCTTTTATTTTGTCCCAGTAGTTAGAGAGAAATTAGAGGAGCCTTCTAGAATGATACATTTACCTAGATAAAACCTTAGCCAAATATTTAAGGAAGGCAGAGGCAGCCCAAGTGTCCTGTATGTCACACGTTTAAATGTGATACACTAAGTTTTCAGAGTAAATGACAGTGAATCAGTGCAATTGCCAGTACAATATATGTTCTGTTTATAGTAGCCCTAATAAAGCAAACTTTTAAATGATGGCCTCTTGAACAGCTTAAGGGTATGAATTCAAGTTGAATTAATTTCCCCGGATGGAACTCTAGGAAATATGAAACTGTATTAAAAAAAGACATTTGGGGGGGGGGATAAAGCATTTTTAATAGTCAATTGCTTTACCAATTTTGCAGGTGTTTTCTTTTTTAATTAGATGGTAACCAAAATCCTGCCCTCACTTTATTAAAGTCGATAATGGCTCTAGCACAGGGGTGGGCAAACTTTTTGACTCGAGGGCCACAATGGGTTCTTAAACTGGACCGGAGGGCCGGAACAAAAGCATGGATGGAGTGTTTGTGTGAACTAATATAAATTCAAAGTAAACATCATTACATAAAAGGGTGGGTACGGTCTTTTTTTTTTTTTAGTTTTATTCATTTCAAACGGGCGGATCTGGCCCGCGGGCCGTAGTTTGCCCACGGCTGCTCTAGCATCTGCCATTATTTGGCTTCCTCTAAGAGCCTATTTAGTGTTCTCTTCTAGCTGCGTTGGGCATGTTTCTCATACTGAGTAGGAGGAGAATGTGAATGATAAAAATTTTCATTTTAACTTCTTAGTTCATGATTTTAGGAGCAAAATTAAATATTGCCTTTGTGCTGCTCAGTGACAGAATTTAACAAGAAGTCAAAAGGAATATCAGCTGCACATCTATTGCTATGCCATAGCTAACACATACCTCCTAAAACCTGAGATTCCTTTTCCTCTACAACACCTCCTCGAGCAGAGCTTAGATGATAGGTAGGCTTTTTAAAAATAATTAAACCGATTACTTGTTCACTTCCCTGTGACAAAAGAAAACATCTGAGGAAAACTGTCTCTACATGGAAGACTTTAGTTAAGATAAACAAATCTCTTGTTATTGTTTGGAGAGCTATCTCAGGAATGCTTTTGTCCTGCTTGGCAAACATTAAAGACATTCAGAATCACAAATGGCACATCAGTAAAGTACTTTGGGAATAACTTATGGCTGGAATGTTCATAGGGTGGCAAGATTCCTATCCGGTGGACTGCGCCAGAAGCAATTGCCTATCGTAAATTCACATCAGCAAGTGATGTATGGAGCTACGGAATCGTTATGTGGGAAGTGATGTCGTATGGAGAGAGACCCTATTGGGATATGTCCAATCAAGACGTGAGTCTTTATGTTCTGAAATATATGCCTGAGCATTGAAATTCAGGAAGTTTCGCATTAGTGTATGATGGAGTGCTTGTTGAGCTTGAAATGATACATTAAACTCAGGGTTCTTAATAAAAATGTGTCTAGTAATATAGTTAAACCTTATGGTGGTAGATTTCAAGGACCAAAATTACTATAGCCTCAGTGTTATCGTTTGGGAGATGGATCAGATAGGTAGATTTAGATAGATGCATAGAGTCGTGACATGGAGCAGTATTTGAACTTGGATAACTTCCAAATTCATACTGAAACAAAATTAAACTTTGAATTTGAAGAAAATGCAAGGATCTATGAAAAACACACATTTCACATGTGATAAAATTGACATGAAAGGTTTATTTCAAGGAAACTAGTGAATATTTTAAAGCTGACAGAGTTGTAATTAGAGCTTGCCCCTGGAGGACTCTAAAATAAAGCTTCACTAAATGACCCTTTGTCAATTACGCACATCCCTTTAAATGTACCATCTGGACCACTTCGTAAGGGAGTATCCACAATGCCTGCAATTTCAGTAAAGCATTCAATAATGACACTAATAAGATTCCAGAGTAATAGAATTTAATTACAAACATCTCCAGTGAGAAAGGGCCAAAAAATGAAAAGAAAAAACCCTGCAGCAGTGGGTTCCTAGAACACGTATTTGCTAATCCTGGAAAGGTTTTAGTTCTGGGGTTGGAAGTCAGATCACAATAAAATGAACACTCTTTGAACTTTAAAAATTATTTTAATATATGAGGTAAAATATTAGCACAGAGTGTTTATAGATTCATGGTATTTAATATCAATAGAAATTATATTTTAGGAAAAGTCATCTTTTAAAAAATTCTCTCTGAGGTGGAATGTTACCTGACCATCTGTCATGTCCTGAAACACAGGGACTTGCACAGCCTTGACAATTCAATGAAGAACCAGGTGTACTTAAGAAGCAGAATGCTGTTGCCTTATCAATAAAAGGATGTTCAGCGCAATAGAGAAGCTAATGAACTCCATGTCTAGTGGGGCAAAAAGAATTCCCTAACCAGATTAAGAGGAATGGTTGTGTTGACATTGGATTATCTGTAAATTGTAAAGGAAGGTTGGTAGCAGATGGGAGGAAAGACAGCAGCTAGCATAACTGATAACTGCAAACTGGAAAAGGCTGTAGAGGTGAAGGGTGTGCAATCTATTGTTTGATGTGACTATGCTATTATGCATATACCTTCAAGTACCTTTCCTGTAGCAACATTTGGTTTAGGGTTAGAGATTTTTGGAGGGACAAGGACAAACAACCTAAGTGAGTAAGTGATGTGTGTATTTACTTATTTAATTATTTTATATTTAAACTTTCCCCTTTTTTTCAATTGAGAGTCATGGCCAAATGCTCATAACAGCAGATTGTCTAAAGATGTTGTTAGTTTCCCTGCCCTAAGTATTTTTAGAACTTGTAGTCTTGATAGTATCTATATTATATTAAAATCATTTTGGTTGTTTTAAATTTTTAGTTGTCTGGCTTTATCCCTGAAAAAGCATCTGAAGCTGCTTTTCTCTGCAAATAACATTGATCTAGCATTCATGTGTATTTGTGTTCATGTTGGATTTTGTGTAGAACAGGAATCAATAGGAAATGTAACTGGAAAATTACTTTGCTGAGTAGAATTTGGCATATGGTGAATGAGTCAAAGTAGCTGTTGAAAATATGTCAAACTTATCAAGATTTTTGTTGGTTTTAATCCTCTGCCCTCCAAAACATTCAGCAGTAAACTGAGAAAATATGCTTTGCTAACCCACAAGTCATCTTGCAATCTGGCAGTGGATAGGGAGCTAATGAAGGAGTATTAAACAGTCTGAGGGATTATAAGAAATTGTGTTATCCCGGCATTAGCCCGATGTTGCTTGCATTGTATTCAGTTCAATATAAAACATTTTCCTCAAGTCTAGAGCCAACACCATGCACCTGGAAAGATAAAAGAAAGTGAGGGAATCAATGTGATTACCGGAAATAAGTAGAATAATGTTCAGTAAGATAGCATATAGAGCCCTAATTGGTTTGGCTCAGTGGATAGAGCGTTGGCCTGTGGACTGAAAGGTCCCAGGTTCGATTCTGGTCAAGGGCATGTACCTTAGTTGTGGGCACATCCCTAGTAGGAGGTGTGCAGGAGGCAGCTGATCGATGTTTCTCTCTCATCGATGTTTCTAACTCTCTATTCCTCTCCCTTCCTCTCTGTAAAATATCAATAAAATATATTTTTTAAAAAAAAGATAGCATATAGAAGTCTACTTTAGGAGAACTACATACATACTAATACAACAGGATGTTGGCAAAAAAAAAAAATGGGGAAAAAATGGATCACAGGGCTTAACAAATCACCAGATGATTGTTAAACTGAAACAGTGTGCTAGTTAAAAAGACAAGAAGTCATATTGGTATGTAGAAACTGGACTCAACTGAACTGACCATGTTGTGTTGAAGGCTGATTGTTCAGCAGCAAATAGACCCACTGCGGGGTGAATGCAGTGTGGTCATTGAGATGGCTACAGCCACTGGTCGTTTCCTTAGCAACTATCACTTTAGTGGGAAAGGGGCTGGAGTGGAAAGACTGATTTGAAACAAATAAAACTTTAAAAAATCCCCAAACAGGCAAAAGCACCTCCAGAATCTCATAGGATACCCATAAACAAAGTTTATGAGTCGCCAAGAAATTATGAAGTAATTCCCCTCTTTAAATTTGGCATGAGTCATGCTGTATTACATTACTAGGATTTACGCCATGAAGAAGGGGGGTTTAGAGTAAAGTCAATAAGAAAAATAAGTAATACCTGTGAAGACAGATTAGGAAAATTAGAATTAGAAAAAAGACTGTTGAATGATTTATTTATGGCTCACTAGACAGCGAGACCACTCTGGGTAGTAAGACAATTATCATCTACATTATAACTTTTTTCCTTAGATGTGCCTGTGACCCCTTTAACATAGAAATGCCTAAAAGAAGATGAAAAATGTTTTTGCTGTCACTTTTAAAAAAATATACTATACCTTTAACAGGGTCAAATGATAGCCAAGTAAGATGAAGAAAGAAGTATAGAATTGGCATAATGGTGTATTTTGGTCTCCCCAAAGTAGAAAAGGCTGGGCATCTAGAAAGATCGAGAGGTGTGCTATTTCAGAGGTTGGCAGTGTCTTCTGGGTTGGGAGTCAAGGAGGTGGTCTCTGGTTTTGACCCATTAGCTGTCTGAGCAAGAAGATACAGGCTTAAAACTATGTAAAGAGACTTGCATTTTGAAGGGAGCTATTAATAATACTTCCTATGGAAGGCCTTTAACAAGGTTAGGGTCTCTTTTTCCTAAGAGTATTTTGCAGATGCTTGGGAACAGAGTGAAGAAAGTCATTGCCCTGTGATAGCTGAGGGTCAGACCAACACCATTTACTGATCTAATTGGATTCTAATCACTGGAACACTGATGCATCTTCACTTGAGAGCTTCAGGTTGGCTTGGCCTGCCATTTGAGAACACCTCATAGCAACAGCAGGCTTGCCTACCCTGTTGCCAGCAATAGGCAGGTCCAGCTTGGCTTCTGTGAAGGAATTGGAGATGTTCCCATGCTCAAGCTTGCTGGCAGCTTAATGTACAGGGAACTTGCCCATCAGGAGGGTGAACAACAGCTTGCCTGGCAGCTTAACATATCATCCTGTTTTCTTCAATAGGTGATTAAAGCCATTGAGGAAGGCTATCGGCTACCCCCTCCAATGGACTGTCCCATCTCACTCCACCAGCTGATGTTAGACTGCTGGCAGAAGGAGAGGAGTGACAGGCCTAAATTTGGGCAGATTGTCAACATGTTGGACAAACTCATCCGCAACCCCAGCAGCTTGAAGAGGACGGGAACCGAGAGCTCCAGGTGAGCCATGCTTACTTAATAGTGATGTATGAAAGAATACATTAGAGATGGCAGGCAAGTGGTGACTCACGTTAATTCCTGCCTCTTAATAAGAGGTCACTTCATAGCTCTCTGCAACTTGGGTGGTTTCTTTCTCAATTAGTGAAGTATTTATGGTAGTTCACTTTACCATTTTGAAGAGCCAAATATCTGTCAGGCCTCAAGGAATAGTTAGAAAAACAAATTAAAAACAACAACACAGCAACAACAAAATAACTAAAGTGCTTATTTTATGATGTTGGACATGGACATTTTGAAAGAGGGATGAAATGTACTTTTGGAAGACATTCAGGTTGCTAGATGCCATATTTTGAAAAGGGAAAGGAATATTGTGTTTGTAAAAAGTAAGGATTAGAGGACAGCTCTCTGTGCACTGCAATTTTAAGTTGACTTATAAATAAAGTGTTAATTGTCACAAGAGATGCCTTAGGTTTCAGTTCTTAAAGTTTTTCTTTTATGAGTCTTCAAGAGTAGCAGGAAACAGGACCAAGATAGAAACTGATCAAGTTACAAAGCATGCAGACAAATGTTTGAGAAGGGTTTTAAAAACTACAGTGATTGCACCACCTGTAAAAGAGGTAGTTATTTCATTGGGAAGAGGAAATTGAAGTGTATCAGTCCAGAAAGAAGATAAAGATACTGCAAGTTCTGTAGTTCAATGGGAACTTTTTTTCACGGGGTTGAGCTTTACTGGCTTACCAGCTCCATGGAAAAAGGAATAGACCATCTTTATCAGTTAAATGATTTAAGAGACAGGCACAGTAAGACCAGGTGACTCAGGCATGCATGACATTTTCTCCACAATATGCAAGCCCTTCCTGTCTTGGCCCCCATTATGATGTTCTCCTCTAGTCTTCCTCCTGAAACCCTAGCCTAAATATTGCAGATGAGAAGGACTACACTTATTATTATAATGCATGAAAAAAAGAATTTGGAGCGAACAGCAGCGGTACCTTCTGTTCTCTTTTAGGCTTTCAGATCCTTTAGCATTGGCCACTATACAAGGAGCTCAGTGGTCAAGCTCTTCTGCAAAAACATCCAGCTGAATTCACATCTTTTTCCTGCCAGTTGGTAGCTATGTGACCTAAAACAAATCTAACATTTCTGGGCTAGTTTCTGTTCTTCTGTTCACTGAGAGGGTAAAAACAGATGGCTCTAAAGCCAAGTTTCCATGTAGCTGGCTTCTCCTATTTCTACGTTAACCTCCAGCTTTTACATCTCCAGCTCCAGAGCCCATGTGTTATGTCTGAGAGTCCTGAGGCCAGTGCTTGGAACTTCTCCTGATAGCGTAAACTATTTAACTACTGATATTCCATAATGTGTGCTTAGCACCAAAGTTCAGGAAAAAATGAGTTATTGGATATACTTTTCTCAATGCTAATTTTTTTTCACTGATGGTACTTGAGTAGCTTTAATGCTTATCACCACTTGCTGATAATGGGGTGTAGTATAACATGATATGTTACTGAGCACAAAATTAGGCAAATGTCATGGTGTTCCACAGAGAGCACAAAGACTTCCAGAACATACTTGAGAGTATCTGTTGGAGTGTATTGATACGGAGTGAGGATATTTTCATCCTAAGGTCATTTTGACCTTCTCAGGCTCCTAGAGTTTACACGTTGCCTATTAATGTTCTTGGCGTAAAGTTAGAAGCAAATGCAAACTGTTGCTCCTTGTTTGATATGAATATTTAAATTGATAAACATTCAACACTGATATATAAAATTCTGAGTGTTAATATTTGTTATTGACTCGAAATTGGGGGAATAATTAAATCTTGATTAGTCTTGTCATAAAAATATGTAGGATTTTACTTACAAAATTGGATATAATTGAAACAATGGACACAAAAGATATGTCACAAAGGCAAGCTAATATCTGGGCTCAGAACTAACTGATAAAACAAGTCTTTGTTAAAATATTTACATAAAAAAAGAAGCAATGCAAATAAAAATAACTGGTAAAATTAAAATAAAGAATGGAATTGGATTAATTCTGCTATATAGAAAATGAATCAAGGCATTAGTTTGACTTAATTTTGTTTTTACAAGAAAAGAACATTTTTGAGTGAAAATTCAGTCATGATGATATACTTCTGATTTAAACACTTATATTCAAACAACATAGTCTCAGAATGAAAATCATGTCAAACTGTTAAGGTGAAATTCATTCCATAATTTCTAGAGAAAAGGGAACTTTAAGAAAATAAAACTTAAGTAGCAGTGTTGTTATTGAGGTAATTATAGTAAGGGTGGTACAGACTACCCTGTGGAGGTCTACCTTGTGATTATTATGTATTTTGATGATGAAGATAACTACGAGTCAGTTACTAAATACTTTCCATTAATAGGTGATTTATTATAGATCAATACTACGAAGAATGGCAGAATTCCTGCCTTGAACTATAGTTGTTCTTAACAATGACCTCATATCACACACCTGGGCTGAGAAATGTGTAAACTAATAACTAAGTTAATAAAATGTGCTCAGATTTTGTGGAAATGATTATTTAGGAGCCCCTGCAAGGGAATACAGAAGCACATTCCACAGTCTAAACAGTGATCAAAGTGGCCATTCTTCCTTCCAGTCTTGGCATGCGTGCTGGTCAGGCCTGGGCTGATTAAAGGGGATTAACTCCCTGCTGTCCCAAGTTTTTTTTCGAATCCACCGAGACTGCCTGTAAACCTGGCTCGAAGCACGTTAGACTTGAACTCTTGCTGCTTTCTCCTTCCATCAAGTCTGGCAGACTGAAGCTCGGTTTTCCTTACTCATACTCTGCTAGGGTTTCCATAGTTGCTGCACTAAAGTCTATAATATTCAGTGCTGGCAGGTTCTGGACTCTTTCTGCAAAGACAATTTTAGCCACAAGGACTCCCCCCATCTTTACCCCAGGCTAAGATGTTAAAAAAACCCAACTGCTATGATTATTAATGCACTAAGAGGTTCACATGAAACAAATGTGGGACATGAAATTAAGAACAAATCGGGCGATTGGTACTGTTTTTAGAAGCTTTGTGAAATTGGGAGCAAAAGTAATCACAGTGGCATTTGACGATGTTTACTCTTGGTGTTTTAGTTCCCGTTGTCTGTCTCAGGCAATTTGACTTCTGAGTCTTGCTGTTTCACTGATAGCTCTGTCTACAATTTCTTGTTCCATTTCCAGACCCAACACTGCCTTGTTGGATCCAAGCTCCCCTGAATTCTCCGCCGTGGTATCGGTGGGCGACTGGCTGCAGGCCATTAAAATGGACCGGTATAAGGATAATTTCACGGCTGCTGGTTATACCACACTAGAGGCTGTGGTGCACATGAACCAGGAGTAAGTACTCAGCGATGTAACACAAAAGGGTAAATCTAGATTTAATAGTATTTTCCTGTTTTTGCTTTGAGCTGCATAATCATCCTCCCCATTTAAAAAACACACACACACAAAACTGGAATGCCTTTCATTTTGATTGAGTCTAATTTTACACAGCCTTTATAAAGCACCTACATTGTTGCATTAAATTGCTTAATTAAACATCTTAATACACCTGCCTTGTTGTGCTGTATGAATTGTGGCTGATTCAGATGTGTGTCTGCATGAAGCCCAGAAGAGAGGTTCTCAGCCCTCATAACGTTACTCTCCCTCTGTTTTCTCTCCCTCCCACCCCCCTCCACCCCTGTATAGCGACCTGGCACGAATCGGCATCACAGCTGTCACCCACCAGAATAAGATTTTGAGCAGCGTCCAGGCGATGCGAACCCAAATGCAGCAGATACACGGCAGGATGGTTCCCGTCTGAGCCAGTACTGAATAAACTCAAAACTCTTGAAATTAGTTTACCTCATCCATGCACTTTAATTGAAGAACTGCACTTTTTTTACTTCGTCTTCGCCCTCTGAAATTAAAAAAAACAAAACAAAAACAAAATCAAAAAACCTATCTGCAGTGTTGCTTGGTGTACAGAATGCTGGAAAATGGGGCTCCCAGAAATGACCAGTGTCATTTGAATTCGACCTGGAACAAATTGTTTCTCAGAAGTACTGGGTCCATCGCCAGTTTGTAAAATACACATACCTGTGCAAATAGGACTCCGCCTCTGAGTTTTGATGCTGTACCTGCTGCCGGACACTGGGCTTCTCTGAGACATCCTGATCCTCACTCCATTTGGAATTACAACTGTAGTATTTTGTTTGTGGCATAAATGACAGTCCTCCTTCTTTCACTGGAATGAAGGCCATGCCCAGGAACATTTCTGAAGGACTCACTTGTAGCTATTAAGGCTTGGTTCATGCCAGGGGGAAGAATGCAGGTGAAAACCGGGTGGCTCATCAGTGTTGTTCCTCAAAGCTCAGGCCACCTGGTGGATTGTGATGCCATGAGGGGATGGAAAGAAAAAGAAAGTGGATTTAAAAATAATAATAATAATAAACCCCAAACACCCTACATCCCTGACTGGACAAACGAGGTCTGTTTCTTTGGGCCTGAGGCTGTGCCATAGAGTCGTATTTTGGGACTCTACAAACTTACCGTAACTACCTTACGGATAGTGGACTGTGACAATCTTGAATAGGGAATGTTCACACTTCCCTTCTTTAAAGAGGCAAACCCAAATCTCCAAGGTAAGGCAAACACAAAACGAAAAAAAAAGCAATGAATTCTTCTCTGATGAAAACATCGTTTTTTGAAACTTGATCTTATTTGAAACATTGAGTAGAAAATAAGTTTTCAGGTCTGTCAGGTAGTTTGCGGTTCTTTCAGTATTTCAATCCTCTCTTCACAGCGGGAGAGAAGACCAAAACCAATATGGCTTCCCTACTGTTCTCCCAGGAAGAAGTGAAATAAGAGCCATATTTGATCAGGTACAATAGGATGGACCTGTACTGCTGTGCTTCCTCTTATACAGGGTTCCTCTGGCCATTTGGTGCCCTTCATGACACACATACTTATTGAGCTTCTTCTGGGTACCAGGTGGTAACCTCAAACCTTGTTGGGTCATACACATGCCCCACTCTTGAGAGAGTTTGCTTCAGTTGAGAATCCTTTCCATTAGTCTTATTTTTATGTCCTGCTTGTAGTCCTTTTATCAAACAGAGTAGCAAGGGAGGATGTACCTAGATGTCAGTGGTGAGACTTGGAACTCACCTTGAGTTCCTCATGATCAGAAAGTTACCTAATAAAAAACGTGTAAGATGCTTCTATTTCCATCCTGGAATTTTCTTCTTGAAACATGTAAAATAAATAACTTTCTTCATTCCTAGAAGCCAACAGCCTAACTTTTTTTTGACTAGACAAATTTTAACTTTTTTGACTTCCATTGTTATTACTATTAAACAACAGCTTGGCTGATTTTAATAACCTATTTCCCTCTCCTTAGTTTTATCCTGAAAGCTATTTCTTATAGAGCAAAGAATGTTAAATTTGATGCTGTCAAATCATGACAGTTTAGTACAAAACCTTTTGCAACAGGAGTTATAAAAGCTTTTCTGTTCAGAAAAAATATGAAATTTGTTGTTTAAACTGCTTCAACAATTTTTATTTCATCACCACTTTTGCTAAAGTCTGGGAGTTCTGGATATTCATGTTAAAAGTTGACAAATGTAGATAATGCAGATGGGGGTTTGTTTGTTTTTCATAAAGTTTATATATTTTTTTCTTTTAGCAAAGCTGTTGAGTATTTTATATTCAACTAGAGGCCTGGTGCACTGATTCATGTACTGGTGGGGTCCCTCAGCCTGGCCTGTGGGGATTGGGCTGAAACCGATCTCTGTGTCTGGGGTGCGGGTGAAGCAGATTCGGGGCCAACAGTGCCCCAGCAGCAACCTAACCCATGGCAGATTCCTTGAGGAATCAGGCTCCCTCCTTTACTGGTTAGAGCGTCTGCCCCCTGGTGGTCATTGCATATCACAGCTACTGGTCGAATGGTCGGACAGTCACTTAGGTTTTTATATATATACTAGAGGCCTGATGCACAAAGATTCATGCAAGAATAGGCCTTCCTTCTCCTGGCTGCTGGCATGGGTTTCCCTCTGGCACCCAGGACCTGGACCTTGGCTCTGGCCGCCGCCTCCCACCTTTGCTCCTGGGCCAGGTGCTGCCTCCCACCTTTGCTCTGGGGTCAGGCGCTGCCTCCCACCTTTGCTCCAGGGCCGGGATCTGCCTCCTGCCTTCGCTCCAGGGCCAGGAGCCACCTCCCACCTTCGCTCTGGGCCAGCTGCCTCCATTTTTGTTGCTTTAATTTGCATATTCCGTCCTTATTGGCTGTGGCACCACCATCTTTGTCGCAAAGTGACAATTTGCATATTCATCTTTATTAGATAGGATAGATCTTCGCAGACTGATTCAGATAAGACAGCATTATAGCATTATCTTATAAGTAAAAAGAGAACAATACCTTGCCCTGGCCAGTTTGGCTAAGTGGATAGAGCATCGGCCTGTGGACCAAAGGGTCCCAGATTTGATTCTGGTCAAGAGCACGTACCTTGGTTGCAGGCTCCTCCCCATCAGCCCAGGCCCTGGTTGGGGCTTTTGTAGGAGGCAACCAATCGATGTGTTTCTCTCACACTGATGTTTCTCTCTGTCTTTCCCTCTCTCTTCCACTCTCCCTAAAAATCAATGGAAAAATATCCTTGGGTGAGGAGTAACAAAACAAACAAACAAAAAATCAAACAAAAAAAATAGGCCAGAGAGAGAGAAAGAGAACATTATCTTGCATATATTGAATAATTAAAATGTTTTTCTTTCTTAAATTCAAGAACTTAAGACCTAAAATATTTTTCTAAACATTGAACATACTCAAAGCAGAATATTTTAAAGGAGAGAATGTCAATTCTAATATATTCTATGCTGGTGTCATTTTACTTCCTCAGTAGGTATCTCTTTAAATGAAATTATTGGGCAGGGATTGAAAGAAAGGTGTATGAGACTTTCATTCAAAGGTTGCCTTCTGAATCTTAATTTTGATACATGACAGATTTAGAATGCAGGCCAGTGAAAAAGCCAACAGAGGACTTTCCAAGTGTCTAAAATCATATCCAGTAGCAATAAGAGTGTTAATGCCAGGACTTCCACAAAGTTACACATTTTAGAAGAGCAATGTGAGCACAATAGAAAGGTTGCATTGTTTCCCAGGGTGTGGAGCCAGACTCTGGCATGCAGACAGCTATGGATTCTAAAGCCAACTGAGATGTTGACACTGGGAAATGCACTCCAAGTTTCTTTATAACTCAGTTCCTCCACCTGTAAATTACAGATAATGACACTTTAATAATAACTCCTTTCCTAACATGTGCTACTGTAAGTGTATATAAAATACTCTTACATGGGACACACTGAACTTCACATAAGAAAAGTGTACCAAGTGTTATTCATCCATCTTTTACTGTGAATCCACATGTCTTATTGTGACACATCTGAGTGGAGTGAAATGAAGTTTAGTGGTAGGGAGCCATGCAGATGAAGCTTCTTCACTTTATATGGTTTTATAGTGTTTGGGGGTAAATGTATATCTATACAAAAAGTGGTAGACCTATTAAATTATTCCTGTTCCTGTGTTATTTAGCTTTAGAAATTCATGGAATTTTTTTTTATATAATAGAAAGAGTGAAATGCACAAATAAGACTCCTTTGCAATGAAAGGAACTGGATACTAATGACACTTTGATGTCTTCATGATTGACTCAAAGGACAATGCTTTGTTTATTTAGCCACAATGAAAGTCACATTTTTTACCGATGATCCCACATGGACCACATGCTTTGTCTGGTCTCTGTTCTAGCAATTCCCCTTGATAAAGGAGTTGCCTGAATTCAAAGAAGAAAAGAAGGTTTATTTTTCTGCACTCTTTCTGGCATCAAGTAGAAATAAGCCTTCACATTCCCACACTTCTCACTTCAAACATCCAACCCTTTTCACATACACAGTGTCCCCAAATAGCCCACTTAATATTACAAATATATTTATATAATACATATTTATATCTAGGTGTTGAGAAGAAGGCGTTGGCAAACTGAAAGGAGACATGTGTTTTGGAAACTACACTTTCTCCTAAGAATGGAATTTCTATTAGCAAAATATCCTCTACAAAATGTTTGCATATCCATATGGTGTTGGTTGTACTGCATCAGAGTCTTAAGATCATATTCATGTTCTCCTTTTCTTTCATATAAATACATGCCTGCCCAATGAAATCCCTTTACATTCAGGTTGCAAAGTTACATTTGATAGACTTACTGATTTTCAGAGAAGAAACGGTGGGAAAAACAGATCTGGTCCTTTTGCTTTTTTATTTTCATAACTATCAAAATGATGTTGACAAATGGCTTCTTAAAGACCTTGGTAATTATACCCTTACCCACATTTATAGTTTTTAATTTCTTAAGAAATAATTTCTATCCTATTTTATAAGAAAATTTATTTATCTCTTTCCAAACAGACTAAAGTATTTTCTACAAGTTTAAATAATGGTCATCTACCCTCAAAAGAAACTAAATTTTATTTATCTCCCTTTCACACAATATATATATATAGATAGATATATATATAGATATATACACACACACACACACATATACAAACAAATAAATCAATGGTTTAATAAAATAAGCAAATTTATCTGTAAAGATAAATTTTGGCCTTAATCCTTGCTCTACATTTGAGGCCAACTGCCAAGCATGGACACTGGGGTGGGAGATATAGTCCAAGAAGCAATCTTGACAGTCAGTTGTTGCCAAGACAAGGAAATAGCTTCCTTTGGTTTGAGTTGATTATTTGGCAAATGAGGAGCCCCAGTGATTTAATTATATTGTGCCAGCTTTGTTCAATTCTAGACTGATGGGTCATCTGTAGCAGATCAGTTCTTGGTGAGCTTGAGCCCCCAAGACCACTGTCATTGTTGCACCAAACCTCTCACTGTGCCCATGGCCCCAGGTTCCCTCTCTGTCTATTCCATGCAGATTGTATTGATCTTTTACTAATTAAATAATCTCATTCATTAGAAGTCATTTTCTTTTCAAGAAAATCATCCAACACTTTCAATTTCTGGGTTTGCATTTTTTCAATTGTATTGTTGGCTCCTGATGGATTGGGATGTTTCCAAATACATATGTTCCCAAGACATACAGTTTCCCTCTTTAGAAAGACTAGATGCTAGTATCCAGGTTTTTACAGTATTACAGTTTGCCTTTCACATCCTCACCAACACAGCCCTTGTCATCTTGCACTACTGAACCATACAAGTCATTTCAAAGAGGGGTTGTTCACACACTGCTATAGACATAGACTGTGTGGGTTTCTCTTCCCAGTGTTGCCACTTCAGCATTTATAAATATGAGAAGATAGCATAGCCTCTCTTTGCTTTAATGTCCTCATCAATATAATAGGAATAAGAACTATATCTTCCTCCAAGTAGTTATAATTAAGCTGCAAATGCACATAATTTTTTGGTTGTCACAGTTGCCATTTTTTTCAGGAGAAGAAATAAGATTTTATGATCTCCCTCCTGGACTACTTACTGAGCCCTACCAAATTCCATGTACCTACATTCTTTCTTACAATATTGGTTGACAACTGGCTGGCTGACAACTTTCTCTAAAGTCTTGTTCTTTTTTCTACAGGGAGTAGATTCTGCTATCTTGGCCTCACAGCCCTTCCTGTTGATTACAAAGCCCACAAAGAAAACAGAACACACCCTTCTTGGTTCCTTAGAAATGTGTTTCTTCTGCTTCTACTATGCCAGTTCTGGAGCAAAGACATTGATGAAACAGCACCCAATACCTGAAATAAATAAATCTATGACTTTCAAATCCCCTTTCCAGTGAAAGAAGCAGCAAACATTCAAGGTTCGGCATCTATTCTCCGGTTGCACTGAGGAATGTACTGTCTCAAAGCACCAGCTCTGCAGAACCCTTGTTCCCAAACTCCTTGTGGTTTTATTTATATCTCTTTCCATATCTCATTGCTGTACGTCACTGCTGCATTGGTGTGGCAGCAAGTGACCAAAGGCAACAGGTTTTATTATGGACACCAGGTCAGGTGCCACCACACAACACAAAGCCAGTTCCCATGAACTGCCTATGATATGCATTGCTGAAGTAACATTTTACCCAGGGTGTGCCATTGCAGTGATATAAATATATTTTTTTCCTAGACTAAATATGAGCTGACTATCTGTTTTGATGTGTGTACATAGGTGTGAGTGTGTGTGGATGCGTGTGGATGTGTGTGTGTGTGTGTGTGTGTGTGTGTGTGTGTGTGTGTAAAATCATGCTTAGAACTGCCTGTGAATGTTGTGGAATGCTACACCTGAAGAGTTCTGGTTTTCCACCAGTTCTGAGATGAAGAGCCACACAAAATAGTGGGCTGGAGACCATGCCCATCCCCTTAGAAGGAAACCCAGAAATGTTAAATGTCTGTATTTATGTTGTATTTTATAGCTGCCACACTAACCTTAATAAGTAATTATACAGCTTTGGGCAGAGCATTTTCACCTTAGTGGTGGAGTAATCTTAGAATATAAATATAAACCCATTCAAGTGACATTCCATCTTCAAAGTCACAATTCTGATTGAACTCCTCATCTGAATCACTAGTTCCTTGATGGAGAGAGAGAGAAGGGGATGGAATTTGTCTGGTAACCCCAAATGGAATACAAGTAGCCTTTGTTTTCCTGCATAAATGGACTTGATGAATGCGAACAAATATATGCAATTCATATACTTTTGGAGATGAACGTAGACATGTATGTCAGCTTTGAGATGATATGTCCTGGATTAATATTTTGTCTCCCAATGTCACAGAAAAATGTATGCCGGTGACTCTTGAGGTTAGCATAGATGGGATTAAATGGTCTCGAGCAATTTCAGGTTCCCAATTACATGGAAAGTTCTACAGTTATTAATATAGAGCTAACTCCTATGGCCCACAAAAATGTATCAGCCTTCTAGAATCTGAGGTCCACTGTGCAAAGATTCTGTTTTGATATGTATACCAAACTCCAGCCAACATACTGCCATGTTTCATAATTGAGTGGCTGCCTTGCTTATTTTAAGCTATGGTTGCAGAAACTGTGGCCATTTATATAAGCTATAACATCAAATCAGGGAAAAATGGGAAACAAAAGATTCTGAACCCTATATTGTTGAATAAGTAAAAAAAAATCATCAATAAATATTTATTGCATTCTGACAGGGTGTATGGCATTGTATTCTCAGAACTATGCCAGAGTGACAAAGTTAATTCACCCCTTTTTGGGGACCTTAATATATTTTTAAAGGGATGTGCCTATGCATTAATGCCTGAAAAATATGTATAAAGAAATGAGGTTGAATCTCTGAGCAAGTCACCTTTCCCCAGAGGTAAGGGCAGGAGGCCAGCTTTAGGGACTGGGTCTAGCCCGATGAGTTAGTGCTGACCTAGTGAGTTCAGAACTACCAGTAGGAAGCATTAAGCTGGTCCCCTGCACCAAATCAAGTAGCTTCACCATGTGTCCACTGGCCCCAAATTATTTTTAACAATTTTATGAATAAAAAGTTCTGGTGTGTTTTGAAAAGTTATTTTAAAGGAAGGCTGTGCTCACTACACTGCTGGTGTGTGTGTTTTGAGAGCTCTTGTATTCAATCTGTGAAGGATATGTATATTAATCCATACACGCGTATAGCCTCAATATTTGTCTGAAGACACTTAAATTCTGACCAATAAAGCAAAGTTCTAGAAGCAATATTTTCACTTATTTAACATTCTCCAAACAACATCAAGCATTGATACACACTGAAGAGTGTATTTGTTATTTTTTATCACTCCAAATATGTTGGAATATGCAAGGACTGTGGTTAAAATTAGAATGTATAAGGCATATTATAATTTAGTTCATACTGAAAAATAAATTAACTGAACATTGCTTGGTTCATGTTCCAAAATTTGAGCAATTTCTTGAGTTAGACATAGAATTTCTATTTTGTTTTAATTTGTCAAGGTATTTTCTTCCCTTCATAAAACTTAGGTACACATAACTTATGTCATTTATTTATGGTCTTTTATACCTAGTTTGTAAAATTGTAAAATAGCAAACTAAATGCAAAGAGTTTGCATTTGAAAACAATAAAGTAGTTGCCATATTCAAACCTGGAATCTAGTTGTCTCTTCAATACTTTTTGGAATAGATATGGTGGTTCTAAATTAATTAGTTGTTGGTTGTCACTTGGTTAAAACACAAAATTTTACTCTAATTAAACATAGTGAGTGGATCAACAGCATTGACTTCTAAAGGGTCCTCACTCTTGAGAACAACACATTAGCAAATCTGACTTAGATTCTGTGAGATCCTGTGTCCCATTGTAATAGGACTGACCTTTGGTTGGAATTCAGGCTCCACCTCTTACTGATCATGCAGTCTAGGGCAAGTTTCTTAACTTCCCTGTGCCCATTTTCTTGTTTGTAGAATGATGGTAAAGGCTAAGTATGTTTAAACGTTAGCACAGTGTCTAACATCGAGCCAGAATTCAGCAAATGGTAGCTATTCTCAGGAGCCTTCTTGATCGTATAAGATGTCTTCTCGAATATTCCCAGTTCTTCACCCTCTCAAACATCTTTGCTGTTGATCCAGGTGACCAGCGACCCATTTTTACCATAGGCTTTTATTCTGGATCCTTGGATCCTTAACTTCTTGAGGGAACATTAGAACTCCAAGGGGTCCAAGAGTCCCTAAAACGGTGCAAATGTGAATGATTATATGTGTATGTGTGTTTTGATGGGGAGAAAGATCATACATTTCATTAAGTTCCAAACTGGTCTGTGATACAAAAATATTAAGGCCACAGTCTTAAGGATGAATGTTCTCCTCATGAATGCTCTCCCCATTAAATAAACTATCAATTGACTAAGCCCCTGTTAATTGAAAATGAGATTGAAGAGATAATAATTTATTAACTGAAGCCCTTAAGAGCAGCTGGCTTTAGAGAGTAGGGCCATGCTGTTCATTGTTACCAACAGTGCGTTGAAATGAAAAGAATCTTGATATGTCTGGCTATTTTCTAAACACTTCTCTACAATCAACCATTTTAATATGTAGTTTACAACATATTTGTGATTTGAAAAAAACTGGGTTTGACCTTTCCCCCACACACACTTTTTATTAAGATAGAAAGTCAACTATATTAGGATTCTCCAGAGAAATAGAACCAATAGAAAATATATCAATATCTCTCTGTATATGGAGATATATATGTATATATTATAATACCTAATATGTTTATGAGGAATTGGCTCATGCAATTTCATAGGCTGAGAAGTATCATGATCTGTAAGCTGGACACCTAAAAAGCCAGTGGTGTAATTTAGTCCAAGTCCAAAGACCTAAGACCCAACCAAGCCAACGCCCCAATGGCATAATTTGCAGTCCCAGTGCAAGAGATGATGAGATGTTCCAGCTCAGCAGTGAAGCAGGGAAAAAGCTTCGGGATGCACTCAACTTCTACTGAAACCTTTCCCTGACCTAACTTAGGTGCATGGTCCTCCCTGAATTTATGGTACAGATAGGCTAGCGGTTCAATAGTTTTAGTTCTTCCTGTTCACACAAGACTATATTCCCCAGCCTTCAAACCCTTAGGTTAGGCCCCTGTGATAGGTTTCTGGCTAATAAGATAAAGGAGGTAGAGATTCAAGCCCTTCCCAAGCTTGGCTATAAAGGCTTCAACACAATCATTCACTTTCTCTCCCCCTTATGTGGTGGCCTGAGAGGCCACCTGCTCAACATGGTACCCTCACAGGAGGGAAGGACCTTGGATCTCTGAGGGACTGCTAGGAAAGATGACAGAAGATGCTCTGGACCTTTATCAGGCTGTGATGTGAGCTAGAAACAAACCTTTAGGATGTTAAATGCTGTGACTATGGAGTCATTCATTACAGAAGCTGAAAACAAGAGAAATGCCTCTTTCCTCTGCATGTCGCTCTATTCAGGGCATCAACAAACTGGATGATGCCCACTGCAGTGGGCAGAGCAATGTACTGAGGCCACTGTTCCAGTTTGCTGATGATGCTACATGCCATGGATAGCAGGTATATACAGCAGTGCATAGTTTTCTAAACACCACTTGCCCATTCCATTATTAGGTCGCTTACTTTTGACCAATTTATCTCGTTGATTATTTTTGTTAAGCTCTAGAGAAATGAACTATAACTTAAGTACAATATTCATCTTACACGCTTTGCTTTGTGAGAATTAATTTCCAAAGTCTACTTTTCCCTAAAAGCAGAGTATAATCTATTATTACTAAGATACCACCATCTAATATAGAGTGAACGAAGAAGTAGTGATTTTCTTTAATTATCATTTTTGTGTTCTCAGCATAAAAGCCATGGACAGCACTTCTCAGATGCCATTCCTCATTTTGATGACAGCCTGTGACAGAGAGAGGCTAGTCATTAACTAAATAGAAACAAAAGATGGGTCCAAAGACAAGAGAAAAATGAAGTGAAGTAGAGGTTGAACATGATGTAACAAAGTGCACAGACTTCCATGTGAACCCTGCATCGGCTACTTACTACCCGTGTGTCCATGGGCAAATTGATTAATCTCCCTGAAACTCAGTTTACTCATCTTTAAAATGGGATCAAGACCCTATTTTGTCAGGGTCTTCTGAGAACAAAATATAATCAAGTCTATGGAAAGTTGGAGCTGCAAACACAGATGTTTACATGGGCCAGTTAGGCTATGTGAATAAGTGATACTGTCCAAATGTAACCCAATAGAGTGAGTAAGTATTTAGATAAAACATTAGGTTGATAAGATGTTAAGGAGTATTAGTCAGTGAGTGGTAGGTTGTGGCCAGGATGGTTCTATGGTCACATAAGATGGAAAACAGTGGTTCATTCCACTACACACTTTTGGATTTTAATACAGCACATTAGTACATTAAAGGTTCTGGGAAGCTCTGTTGTTAAAACAAACAAACAAAACAAAACAAAAAAACAATTTCACTAGTTTAACCTAACATTTCCCAAATATATTGGAAGATAAAATCCTATAAACATACATGGAATAAAAGTCTCTGAAATACATTTTGGACATTCCTTTGGATTTTCAAATAGAAAACTAAAGGAGATAGAGGCAAACAGATGCCTCCTATATTGCATAACTTTCAGCTCAAGTTCCTGAATCCCAGTCACAATGCACCTACATTCTAAGGCATATGCCGTGCAGAGTAGCAAGTTCTCATTCAATGTTATTTCATTATAATGTTGATGAGAAAAAAAATTGAATCCATGCTGGGGCCATTGTCTGTGTGGAGTTTGCACATTCTCCCCAAAAGAGCACTGGCTTCTTTTCCCCTTACATTGTCAAATTAAAAAAATGACAACAGCCAACACAACAATAGCCATCCAGTGTGAATGCCCTGTCTTGAATCACAAGTATATAGGTTATGTAATAGAGTTGCATCTTATTGGTCACCCCTCATAATAAGGTTGTGTCTGATTGGTTAATTATTAGTACCAGAGCTCCTTATATACAAGTATAGGCACCTGGGGACTCCGGTTTCCTCCCACATCTCAAAGATGCACACATGAGGTGAATTGTGTGTTTAAGTTGTCCCAGTCTCTGGGTGTGAGGGTGTGTGTGAGTGGCCCTGCGATAGAAGGGTATCCTGTCCAGAGTGGGTCTCACATTGCACCCTGAGTTTCCAGGACAGTCTGTGGCCACCCTGGACCCTGAACTGGAATAAGCAGGTTGGAAATTCTTACATGTCTTTATCTTACATGTCTTTATTCATCTTTCTTAGATGTATGTAAAGTTCACATTAATTTCAATGTTTAATATTAGAAGTGTGTTGGGTCTTCATTTAGAAGTTTGCTGATGTTTTGTGGTCACAAATATGCTGTAGAATTTAACTCTTGTTTATATCAATTCGCCTATGGCAACATTGGTTTTGTTATACGTCATTTCACTTAAAGTTACAGTTTCTAAGAACCTAATGATGATGTTAAGTGAGGACTTAGAGGTTTGCAGCTGCTTGGAGATTTGCATTTTTCAGGTTTGTAGTTGTTTAGAGATTTGCATTTTCTCCATCGTGGTCTAGTGGTTTCAGTACTGGTTGGGGATAAAGCATGTGAGGTGGGGAGAATGGGTTGGATAAATTATGCTACTCGAGAGTATGAATATCAAGTCCTGATATCAGAGCCCCAATAGGAGGTTTAAATCATGAACTGAACCATGTGAGCCAAAGTCATGACCTGGGCTAAGATGTCTGAATTCTTCCAGTCATGGTAAAGAACAAAATGGATTTTGACAATAAAAAATGCAGAGTACACTTCCATCAACAACTTAATTAAGACTTGTAGCAATATTGTGGGCTTTGGCCTCAGTTATTTTACCCTTTCCTTTTGGAGGAAGTGCCTTGAGCCATCAACTGTTTGCAGTTGAATGGGTAATAGACCCCTGACATATCTTGTTTCTGACAATCTCCCTGGACATAATTCTTTGTTTACAGCACTGCTGTAGCAAACTTGATGAATACTTAGAAGAAACTAGAATTAGGACCTAAGGATCTAGTTAAAATCAACTTAGTAGAACATAGACATTGCTTTGTGTAGAGCTGGAAAATATAGCCATGAGAGAAAGTAGCTTTAACATACACCCAGAGAAACTATATATTATACACATAATATGTTAGAGGCAATTATGGCCTAGTAATCTGCAGTGTATCACTACCTAGCAATCAGATTGACGTATTCTAATGAGACCCATGTTGTTTGTAATCAGACTGGCATTGCTTATTCAGATCTCTATTCCATAAGATGCACTTTTAAATGGCTCAGATTGCACCAGATGCTATAAGAAATAGCATTCCATTTTATTTCATTACCAGCATTTTTCCCTCTTCCAATTAGCATAATTTAAAATCAGCCAGAGGCAAATGTGAGGGGCTGAAAAGCTGCAAAAAAGTTCAAGAAATACTTGATAGAAAAATGCAAGAAAACACACATGCACAACAATTTTTTTTGTGTAGGTAAGGGAACATTACAATTAATAGAGTTCTTATTCTCTTAAAATGCTCAGAATTTTTTTCTGGGATTTATTGAAATATTAGAATCACTCAGGGGGCTAATTGCCTGGTAGTTTCTTTTTGCTTATG